GGCAAGCAGCCACAGTGCAGAGTGGGGGGGAGGGGGGGGGATGGCAAGCAGCTGGAGCGCGAAGCCGGCGTCATGCGGTGACCGCATGGAGTCATGGCACCTTCAGCATGTGCCAATGGTGCTGTCCGCGGGGCCTGTAGAGCATTGTCCATGGGCCCCCCAAAGCACAGGGTCTGGGGCAGTCACCCTGATTTGCCACCCTCCCCCCCCCACAAGGGATAGCTCTGGTGGCAGCCTTAATTGCCACTGCTCCCTCCACTGCCCTCACCAAATTTCTGGACCCTTAGAGAGCTCCACAGTCTGAATCACATGGGCCAGAACTGGTCCACGAGCCAGGGATTCTCACCCCTGCTCCAGACTAGATATCTTGTTTGGCTTCTACCAGTTTCTGCCTAGAGAAAACAAGCTATAAGAACACTCCACACAAGCAGAGTGAATGCAGACTCAATTAGTAGATTTTAAGGCCAAAATTGACAACTGACTGCTCTGATTTCCAGAACAGTACAGGCCATTAGAATCTCTCCCACTAACTCCTATATCAAACCCAGTAACTTTTGTGGTGGAAGTATAGCACGCCTTTTCAACAAGCTACTAGTCAGACATGGTGTGTATGCAAACTACAGTCCTAACGGATTCCAGTATGTTCTATATGCAAATTCATTGAAGAACAGATGCTTTGGAAGGGTACAACTGTATGCAATGAGGTCTCTGGCATATATACAGGACTAAATGATCAGGTACATAATCACAAATTGTGGAATCCAATAACATCTTTGTTTTAGTTACTGGTTGTGCTCACCTGCCTCCTTCTGTTCTCCCAGCTTGTCTAGGATGTTGAAGGAAATGTCAAGGTACTCTCTCTGGATAGCACTCACAGCAATCTTCCTTTGTTTTCTCTGCCTGGGAACAATCTGAATCTTAAATTCTGACTCCTCAGCTTCCTCCTCCTGTTTCTGTTCTATATTTTGTTCTGTGTCAGACTCTGTGTTGGTGTCAGGTTTATCAGTTTCTGTTTGGTTTTCCAAGTCTTCTGGAACCTTAATAAGGACAGATTTTACATTTGAACTTGGAACTGCTCCACTAGGCTTAATTTCATCTATGTTGAGCTCAGAGTTATCATCAAGGGACATTTCTGGAACAGCAAATGACTTTTGCAGTAGGTCTCGCTTTTGCTTAAGTGTTAGCGGGCTCCCACAGGACATCTCTTGAAGTTCCTCTGGCTTAGCTAGCTCTTCAAAGTCCTTTTGATCTTTGGAAGCTGTGGAAGGGATTTCCTCTTTTCCTAATGAAGCATTATTGCTCACATCCTTAGAAGTAAAGTCTTTAGTACAATCCTCAATGCTGAACTGCACCAGGGGAGTTATGCTGAGGCTGAGTACAGAGACATTAACAGGAGTTGAAGGAGGTGACACAGCAATTTTGCCAGAAACCCCATCATTTATCTTGTTTGTTGCTTCTTCTTCTTCTTCATCACTCTCCACTATTCTAAGGGGAGGAAGTGGTTCAAAGACTAAAGAGTCACTGTCTGAAGTGGAAAGTACCGAATGCTTTTCAGGCCCCGATGTGGAGTCAGAGGACAAATCTATCAGATCTAAGTCCTCTTTAGAAACAGAAGATTTCACTGGAGAATCCACTTTCACTTCATAGGTTTCCATGCAGTTTAACCTCACTTCTGGTATTACAGGTCTCCTTGTTTCCTGGAAACTTTCCATGGCAAGAGGATTTTCTTGAGTCTCTGTGTTCTCAGTCCTGGTTGAAGAATTCTGTCTGGGTCGTCCATAATCATTCTGTCTATGCATGATGTAAGGAGCACTGGCTGGAGGCTTATCTAAGTCACACCGGTCTATGCAGGATTTCCTACGATGTTCATCTAATGTAAACAACAGGGAGTCTGCATTCCCTATATCAAGAGATTTTTGTTTTAGAGAGCGCAGTTTTTTTTTCTGAATGCTTTCTTCTCTCACACAGCGGAGAATGCTGTCTTGTAAGGCCCCCGTTTCTCTATATTCAGCCAGCTCTATTTCACCTGATTAAAACAGAAAAAGCTAGTACTATTTTATTGGAGATTTGGGGCAACAATCATGTCTTCATCTCATAGTAACAAACTCTGTGTTAAATCTTTGGTCAAAATCATCTGCGATTTGTTTTTACCTAAGAGCCATGCTACAAAAATCATTGTAACAGACAACCAAAAAGCCATAACCCCAATTAAATTACACAAACCATTGGGTTTTGAACCCAAATTCTCAACTTCAAACAGATGTACAGTTGAAAGGGTTAATTTGGTCATATATATTAAATAAAAGTTAGTGGGCTAAAAAGTTTTCTTGACGTCTGTTAAGGATGGCTGCAAAACATGAGCGGTGAAGCCACAAATGCTTTAGCACAGGGGTTGGTAACCTTTCAGAAGCACTGTGCCAAATCAACACAGTTTGGTTCTGAAGCAGGCCAGAGCTGTCCCACCACTAGACAACACATGGCTGCTACTAACAGTCAGATATATCAACAAGCTGTGCATGGTAGGCTGGATAAAAATCTCTTGTCAAGCCGTATGTGGCCTATCAGCCATAGATTACCAACCCCTGCTTTAATAAGTCATTCCACACAGAAATCACCAAAATCTTTACACCATGCTGTCATGGATCCTGCATTTGCCAAATACATTACAGAAAAACCACTTTAGAAACGTTGAAGGGTATGTCTGCACAACAAGACAGAGGTGTGGCTCTAGCACCCATGCTGTCTTTTCCTAAACTAGTGTAGGTAACAACAGCAATGAAGAAATGGTTCAGCATATGGTAATAACCAGAGAACAAAGGGACCTTGGGTGCATAGTGTGGTTGCTAGACTATGCTACTGTGTCTTCATTGCTACTATTGCTCATGTCAGCTAGAATCAAAACCAGCCTGAGTACACCTCCCTCTGCTACAACTTACTTTAATTTTGTTGTACAGATACATACCCTTGAAGAGTTTTTAAAACTTGATTATTGTTTTCTATTTTGGTAGTGCCCAGAGACCCCATACACTATTGTTGGTGTATTCTGAATCACTCTGCCAATGAAGCTGAATGCCCAAGCAGAGAGAAAGATCAATCTTAGAGCTGTCAGAAAATGGAGCTTTCTCCATGGAAAGCAACATTTTTCAGTTTTCTTTGAACTTTTACATTTTGTGATTTTTTCACTTAAAACCCAAAGCTCAAAAACTTAATATTTTTCAGTTTGTGGGAAACAATAACTGACTTTGTCTGTTTGGTTTTCAGCTATGAAAAGCCAAATTATTTTTTACAACAATGCAATTTTTCACCAAAAAATTCTGTTTCACTGAAAAGACAATTTCTATTAAAAATAAATAAAAAAGGCTTTCAACAGAAAAGTGTAATAACCAATTTGAGTTCAGCCACTGGTGGTGCAGGAAAATTAGAATTAATTTGCCGTAGCAAAGTTTCAAAAGCCTGTTCTATCCAAATTTTAACTTCATTTTCAGGTGCCCAACCTAAGATGCTTTAAAGGAGTTTAATTTCTTGAAAGCAGTAAGCTCCTGCTTTCTGAAAATCAACTGGGAGAATCATCTGCATTTCAATTACACAGTGTAACAAAACAGGTGCAAATTAAGCACAAAATAGGCAGCAGATTATCACATTTCTTCACAAATTTACTTTGATAAAAATTTCATACTTCTCTGGGCATTCATCTCAACTGGTTGATATTTCACCATTTTGCTGCCACCAATTCTTTTCAGTCTTGCAAAGAAAGTTTGAGACTCTTTATTGCAGGGTCCAGTTGGTGTGTCATGAATATCAGATTCGTCAAAGACACTGTCTTCCTCTGTTTGGGAAAGAAAATTATTATCAGTCCAAGAAAATATATTGTCTTCAGCATGAAACAGAGGCTATGAGACAAATCCTTAGCAAAACAAGTTTGTAAAGAAAGATGTACCCCAGGAATACCATTCGAAGTATATTTTACATCCTAAATGAAAAGATCTGAAGGTAACTGGAATAAAATTCAGTACCCAGAAAGGAGCTCATTCATACATGGCCAAAATGATAACTCTCTTTCATAAGGTAACTGATTCTTTAGATGCAGTCTATCTGGACTTCAATAAAGTTTGTAACCTGGTGCCACACTGAATATTATTAACTAAACTGGAGAAGATGGGGATTAATAGAAGGATTATAAGGTTGGTAAAGAACCAGCTAAAGGGGAGACAATTATTGTGCTGAAAGGGGAACTACGGGACTGGACAAAGGTTATGAGTGGTGTTCTTCAAGGAATATTTTCATTAGTGACCTAAGCACAAAGAGCAGGAGTATACTAATGAAATCTGTGGATGAAACAAAATTTAGAACATCATCAATATGGAGAAATTTCAGAATATCAAAAAGGAAGAACTGGGTGACCTTGAGGTCTGGAGTAATAGAAAGGGAAATAAATTTAGTACAAAGCACAAGGGCATGCTGTTAATTTCTGTAATAAGATGGAGTTTCTCAGTAGGAAGCGACAAAGAGGGAGAAACACTTGGGTGTATTTGTCAAGCACAGGATAAATATGAACCACTTATGTGACACAGCCTTAAAAAAGGCAAATGTGATCCTATGATGCATCAGTTGAAGTATTTCCAGTAGATATAGGGAAGTGTTATTAGGCTGATCATAGGAATGGAGAATCTATGGATAAAGGTATATGAAAAACTAATCATGGAGTAAAAGCAGGAGGGGCTTTAATGTGTGTCAGGTACTGCAGTTAACTGCATGCTTTACCCTGAGGTAAATGAAAATTACACTGTGATGACTTCATTCTCTTTCACTGAAGACTAACCTGCCATCGGGCATGTCTACACATGCACTGATGAGCTGTGGTTACTGTGCATTGAGTTTAGTACCTGTAATAACAGGTACTAACTAAATGCACTGTAATCAGCACTACTGCACAGTAACACCAGTGCACAGTCTTTTAGTGACCTTAATGTGCAGTAGACTAATTTGCCATGATGTGCTAATGTGCAGTAGAGTTAGTCTACTGTACATTTAGTATCTTGTGTAGACATGGCCATGGGTTAGCAGCCACTTATCCTAGAATAAGAGTGTGCACATGAGCAGTTACCATGGAGCAGTTGACATACAGTACAGTCTTGCCTGTTTGACACTACAGTAAGCTGTATGAGTATCCATGCCCATATTAAGAGAAGAGACCAAAAAAGCTTGACCTGTTTAGCCTAAAAAATGAAGGCTGGGAGAAGATATGACTGCTCTCTGTAAATACATTACAGAGATAAACATCAGCGAGGGAGAAGAGCTATTTAAGTTAAAGGAAAATGCTGACCCAAGAACAAGTGGATTTAAACTGTGCTTGAATAAATTTAGATTGGACATTTTTTTTAAAATGCTATTTTAAAATACTATGCTCCTAGCAGAGGAGCATAGTACTGGAACAGCCTTCTAATAGCAACAAGGGCAACAAACCCAAATGATATCAATATTAAACTAGATACATTATGAAATGATATGGTTGCCTGCAAGGAAGGGACCAGGAGGTCACTCCCCATCCTGCTTCCTAAGTTCCTAAAAGCAAAGAATGTTTTGTGGGTTTTTATAAGCAATTAATGCTGTTTCTCACAGTACTCATTGTGCAAAGTAATTGGCTATGGTCAGACCCACTGCTGGCATACGTTGGTAGTTTCACTGAAGTCAGTACACCTGTCATGACTGGCACAGCCTAGAGAAGCAGAAATGTTGAATGCCAGACAAATACATCTATTGCATAAGGGCTCTTCCTGACTGAGAAAGGATTAATCCAATGACTTTCAAACAGAGTGCCATGGCACCCTGGCACCAGAATGAAAGCACACTGGACATCTATCAAAGACAGAAATACCCAATTACCGGTGGGGGCACATATCTCACAGGAGGGCCACTCTCTCTCCAATCTCTCAGTCCTGATCCTCAAGGGAAACTTACACAACACTTCCCAGAGACGAGCCTATGAGCTCCATTTCATCAACCTCCTGGATACTAGAGATCAGGGACTAAATATAGACATTGGATTTTTGACACATTACAATCTGCTTGGCAACTGCCTCCCCAGCCCAGCCCCTGGCTTCTTTACTTTTCATTCCATCCAGGAAGAGCACACACCAACTGCTGAAACTTCCTTAGCCTGACGAAGGGTTTTTGAACCCGAAAGCTTGCTTAATAACTATTCTCCAACTATTTGGGTTGGTCTAATAAAAGATATCAAATTCACCCAAGGAACCTTGTCTGCCTATGGCACCCTGGGGCATCTTGAAATGCTTTCAACAGTGCCGTGGGGTGCCACACAATGTTAGAGCACTGTTAGGTATGTAAACGTGATTTGCAAGATAAACCCAGAGGCTAGATCCAGATGAGCAGGGGTGTGCACTTGCAATGGCAAAAATAGTAGGGGCACAAATTTGTGCTGGTACATTTTGCTGCAGTGCACACCCCTGCACACACACTTTGTGAAGGGACAAGTTGTCCCACTTTGGGCAAACTGCCCATGCCCAGCTCATCCCAGCTCCCAGCATGCTCGAGGAACCAGGGTACAACTGGAGTGGAGATTCTGTGGCCAGCAGCCAGAGTGTCTCCCTAGAGCAGGGCTTTTCAACCTTTTTTAGTAAGTGTACTCCTGGCAGCTGGACGTTTTTAGTAAGTGTACCCCTGGGGGCCGGGGGGTGGCACGCGGCTGGATACGGATCCAGGGGCAGGGGAGGGTACACTTACTAAAAAGTGAGCAGAGTGGTGGCAGCACGGGGTGGTGGGAAGCAGCGGCACGAGGGAAGCTTCTCCCCCCCTGTGTCTGGCTGGCTGGGCAGCGCCTGCATGGCCCACAGAGAGGCGCCATTGCCCTTGCCTGCCCCCATTCTTACTCCTGGGAGGCAGCAGTGCTCTGTCCCTGCCCGCCCACCTGTGCATGCTCCTGTTGCATGAGCTGCACCGCATTTTTTCTTGGTACTTTTTTTTTGCTACTGGGATTTCCCTGTAGCAAATTTTGGCCCTATAATGCAAATTTGCAGCGCAGGGCACATTTTAATGTTCCCCACAAAGAGGTTTGTGGTGCCACAAAATGCATGCCCTTGTTCGTCTAGACACAACCAGAGGTTTCAAATGGGAATCCAGAGTATTTAAAACAAGTCTGACCTGTTGTGGTCTTTGAGTTCTTTTGCAGCAGAAGAACTGCTCTGTTATTTTTTCCATATTCAAAAAATGAACTAAAACTTAAGAGCTCACATTTTCTGATGGGACATAAAAAGGTTGAGGCCCACTAAATTAATCATACTGCTGGGCTAAACAAGTCCATTAATATACAGACTGCACTCTCCCAGGGTGGCGGAAAAGCCATGTAGACATTGAGTGAGATGATGTCATGAGTGTACTATTCCCTAATGCAGACTGACAAGGAACAGGGTCCTGGCAGCTGCTGGCCCCTGCATTGGCGACTGCAGTGTCTCAGCATGGCGGTATAGCTGAGACTGGATGCCCAGGCTGCTGCCATAAGCCTGGGCCCTGTTTGCTGTTTCACACCTGTTGCATTTCAGCCCACCTGTGTGGGGCTAAACCCCACCACATTTTCAGCTGGCAGATTTGGGCCCGAGTGAACCCCTGGCACTTCTTGTTGTTTATCCAGGCCTCAGTGCTGCATACACCTACATGGCTTTTTGTCACCCAGTCCAGGCCCAGCGAAATAGGCCTGAGCCTTCTTTTGTCCCTTTTGCAATTTATGCCCCAACCAAGCAGTGTAGTTCAGTGCTAGTTGTAGTTCAGGCCAAAGCCAAAGTAGGACTGGCCCCCTTTTTGTTGTTTCACAACTGTTAAGTCTCAGCCTAGCAGCATAGCTAAGACTAAATGTCCAGGCTGCAGCCACGTAGGCCTGGTGCTCTTTTGTTGTATGCTGAGGCCCAGGTGCAGGACAGGCCTGAGTCTCCCTTTTATTGCTTTACAGTTTTTGTGTCTCAGCACGGCTGTATTGCTGAGCCCTCCTGTACATTTGCTGCATGTCTGGGCCTGGCACATATTGTTGCTTTGGTAGCTCTGTGTCCTGACCAAGCAGCGTGGTTGGTGCTGATTGCACTTCAGGCTCTGTTGCTGTTCAGCTGGCTTTTCTTTGAGTTCTGTTGCAGTTTCTGCTGCAGCAGAGCTGAGATTAGGACTAGAAACTTTGGAGGTGTGATATGCTGACAAAAGCTGCAGCTAACTCCTCAAAGCCACCAAATGGAAGTGGAGATCAGCATTACAGCTTTGCAGGGAGCAACAGGGGGCCTGTCCAATGCAGAAGGACCTATGGTCTCTAGCAGCTTCCTATGGCACAGTGGACCCATGGGGCAGCTTGTAGGACTTTCCAGTGTGGGACTCCCTCTCCAGCCCATTGCTGAAGGGCAGGTGTAGGGGTGCAGGCCGCTGGAGCTACCCATTAGGGAGTCCCAAGTCCCAGACTGCCTGGGTGTGGATAAAGCCTCCCAAAAAGAGTGCCACCTATAAACTTTGTTTTGTAGTTTATACTGTTTTAAAATTATAGTTAGTGTTTACTTTTGTTTTTTTCTTTATTCTTTGTGATAAATTTGGATTTTGCATTTACACTACCTGTGAGGGAAGGGTAGTTGGTTTTACTGGACACCCTAGTGATTCATTTAGTGTTTACCAGGCAGTCTGGGTGGGGGCTCGAGCCAAGGTAAAATACATTTAGTACCCCAAAATTGAACCTGGCCCTTGTTGCTGCTGACAGGTGCTCAGCAGAAGGGTTACATAAATATTATTCTCTTGATTTTAAACACAGTGAAACAGATGGAAGGGCAATCCAAGACCACACAGTGAATGTGTGGGGCAGAGAAGATTACAATTTAGAGGTAACATGCTGCTTATTCCTCCAGACTATGCTGCCACAAGTATCTAAATGCTCCTTGAAGAAGTCTTTTTTCGGGAGACTTCTAATGTCAATCCAGAACCTTGACTTCATTTTACAGTCTGTGAATGCTTCCACTTCTCCTTACTGCTTTCCAGTCACAACCTCAGACTGACAAATAGTCAGTGAAGCAAGTCCAGGGCCATCTGAAGAAACAGAATCTCCTCTTGAGGCTTCTTTAATTCCTTAGAGATAGCCTATCCTGAAAGTCTTGTAGACTTTCATTTTAATTAAAGTGACACCAGATAAACGTGGGGCAGAAAAGTCAAATAAATGTGAACCGGAGACAAATTTATCATCCTGTATTTTTCATCTTCAGGAAGAATAGATTACTGCACACCAGAAAGTGTGTTTGAAAAGGAAGGTCCAAATCAGATCAGCAAATTTGCTAAAAGATAGTAACACTTGGCCAAATTGACTTAGAATAAATGTATATATGGTATATTATATGTTCAGTTGCACTGTATATTATATATACAGTAAACTTTGCAATTGCTTTGGTTCCTATTCTGGGATAACACAGACTACTTTTCAAACACTAATATTCATACTAGCCTTGCATCACTGCATAATTGGTGGACGGTGGCATAGAAAGGTCAAATCCCATGAAGAGAACCCAGAAGACTGACTCCTATTCTTGTTGGTCTACCCTGTATTTCTTTTTAATTAATGACAACAATATCACCCAAGACTTAATTAATAAAATCATTGGCTAATATAGAAACTAAAATGCTTAAAATACCTTTTTCCTTTTCACTGTATCGACTTATATTACTGTTGTCACTGTACAGAGGCCCTGCAGTTGCATGAGGTTTGCAGCTGTGGTACTGTGCATTGAGAGTGTTGACTGTTATGTGGATCAGATGCAGGACAATCTTGCTGACTTCACAGTCTCTGTAGGGATACTGGTTAATGAATGAAAGAAAGAAATATAGTCTTAAAAACTAATTTTTCCTCTTGAATAAATATGTAATCAATAAGCGAGAAAAAAAGCAATAATGTGGTCATATTGTAGCCCTTATGTATGTCTTAATACACAGGAGAAGGCAAGAATATTATTCACCTTTGTAAACAATGGATTATAAAAGAATGGTGTCTACAAAAGACTTTCCAAGGGACTCCCCTATAAGAACAATGCAATATATTATTTGTCTGGTTTTTATATGGTAAACCCACCTGTTAAAAAAACTTCATGAGGTCATGAGACCTGTTTGCAAAATATCTGCTAGTTCATTGTTCAGATCAGTTGTATTTCTAACATCTCCATTTTTACTTATGTCAGATCTAACCATAAGAATCAAGTTCCATATGTCCAATCTCAGCTCAAGTATGTAAACACTACACTGAGATTATATTCCTTACAGTTCATCTCAGAGCATCATCCAAACAAATTTAGTAATTTTAAATTCAGCCAATTTAAAAACTTTTAACATACTACATATGTTCCTAACTTCCCCCTCCTCCTTCCAGCATGTGTAGTTTTACACCATGCTCTTAAGGAAGACCCATGTAAATACCTCTGACCTGAGCTGGGTCATTCTGACCTGCAATCTGAAAATGTTGCTGATTGCTGGACAGTGGAAACAGTGACGCTGACACACACAAACTGAAGTTAAATGCACACAGTATACAAAATGAAAGAAGAAACTTAAAAAAAAGTGTGTGAATTTAAGGGTGATAGTATTCTGTTACGACAACTAACCTTGTAAAGGATGACCAGCAATGCTTTTAACCACATCTGCCTAATATGAGGCTTAAGAGACCAAAGGGAACAGCGAGGAGGCTGCTGGAAGTAATGTCTTAGTTGTGGACAAGTGCAGTACTTCAGCACTTGAACCACTAATGGAAGGAGATGTTTTCCCAGGTTAATATTATAATCCATGACCTGAAAGGAATATTAATTTAGAATTCAGTTCACCAAAATGAAAATCAAGCCCACGCATATTAATAGCCAAACTATCTAGCAGCAGTTTTGATATTGCTCAAGTAAAGAGAAATAGGCACATACAGGGAATTCTCACAACCAACTGGGAAACTTTCAGAAAACTTGCCACTTGGTTAGCTCTTTATGTAGTATTCTGTTGTTGAGTCATTTGTGACAATGCTGTCACTTTGCTATTTACCATTTCAGAACACACTTGGAAAACTTTTCATATATCACCAGTTAAGTTGCCGGGGCAAGGTATGTATAGCACAATAGTGTTCTAGGATGTGGATCAAATTCTATCTTTAGTTACAACCATTATCATCAGCAGGGGTTGCACAAAAAGTGGTTGAAGTGGAAAAATCATGTCTTGTACTGAGCGCTGAGATTAAAAAATCATTTGGTGGAGCACAAAACCATACAAATAACAATTGTGGAATGGTAAACAACAGAAGTTTTAGAAATTTATCTCCTAAACAGTGCCCTAGTACTGAAAGATATGAGCACATTTTATTCCTGTAATAGGCTATGTGCATGTCTACATGTGTGCCCCACTGCACAGTTGGTACTGGGCAGTCATTTAATATTTGCTGCAAGTACTAAATGGCTATGCAGTACCTCCCAGTACTGTGCAGTCCCAGCAGCACAAGGGTCATTTCCAACCTCACTGTGCAGTAGCTGCAGCATCACAGTTAGTGCCTGCCGACACTACGTCGTCATAGGGACAAGCTATGCCATAGCTCATCACTATGGCAACGTAGCATCTCATGTAGATGCGCTCTGTTTCAACAAAAATTTAAAAATCACAGTATTTATATTATTCAAAATCCATTGACTTCTGAGTCACTTTTGAAAAATGAATGTAGGCTCTGAAGTCACATTAGTGCTTTTGAGAATTTCCTCAGAAAACTAACCATGACATTAATGAGAGGCAATGATTTTTAATTATATCTTTTATTAGGACAACTGTATTGTTGGGAGGGATGTTGGACAAGCTTTCAGACACAAAGTTACCTTTTTCAGTGAATAAGAAACCATCCAGGGAAAGCCTTAGACCTCTCAGGAAGGAGATTGAGAGCTAAATCCTATGCTTGTAAATACAGATCTATCTTATACATGATTACTTAACAGACATATAGCATAGATTGGTCCCGTTTGTGCTGAAATGATCAAATTGTGCTTTAATATAGTGATATTTCAGCACAATATATTTTGTATTAAGGCCAGTCCTTACATACACTGCAATTCAGACTTGCCAACCAGGGATTTTTTTAAATATGCCTCTCATGATTAGTTGTCCAACACAAATGTCCTATGTTATGTGATTTTACAGCAGCAAGCATTTCTGAGAAATGGTTAATGATATAGTAGGGTCAGAGTGTCATTGTAGCAGTGACATTCCAGGAAATATACATGAGGCAAGGGTTTGTTTTTGTGCTTGCTTGTGTGACAACTTTTATTGGACTAACTGTAATTGGAAGAGATACTGGACAAGCTTTCAGGCACAAAGTGCCTTTCCTCCTGTCTGAGTTTTCAGGGCTGACTGATTAGGCCTTTTGCTGTGAGGTTTCATGTTCAAGTCTTTATTTCTCTGTTGCCCCAGCACTTATACTCTATGGGCACATCCAGACATGGGCACATGTGCGGTTTGCAGTGCCACAGACCCATCTGTGATGCCACAAACTACACGCACCACACATGCAGGTATTTGCCACACTGCTAATTTGCAGTACCGTGGGGGGTTTTTTACACCGGCAGATTCCAGTGTCAAAAAAACCTGTGCCACAAAAAAGAGAGGGGTGCGCTTGGCGACAGCATGTGCCGCCTGAAACCAGAGCCTAGCCAGCCAGACCCATGCTCTGCCTGCCGGCCAGGCTCTACATGGCCAGATCACCACCGCTGGAGCCCGAGGAGGCCCTCACAACCCCAGATAAGGCTTGTGGGGGTCAGTCCAGGTGCAGGCCCCAGCCTCCCCTACCTCACCCAGAGCAACTTGCCATGTGCCAGAGAGCTTGCACACATGTGTGCTGCTGCTGGTTGTCCCTGGGGAAAACAAATTCCCGTTCATGGGGATGCACCCCATGAGTACAGGTAATGAAATTCACTTTATTTCTCCACCCATGTATTCAGGATGTTATATATATAGTCCTGGAGTCTGATCCCTGGGTCCAACAAGAACAAGCCATGTTACAACATGCCTCAATGAACTATATTCTGTAATCCAGAGAGACTTTAAGACTAATAGAGCCACTTTTTTTACAAGTGTTGTTCAGACTGGGTATAAAATCATACAACCTGAGAACAAATCAATTCTAATTTACAGTGTGATCTTTGCTAGTATTATCAAGGATCACCTAGGCTACATTATTCCCTCCAAAGAGAACTGTACAACACTGCCACCGGGTGGACTAACACCAAAATGATTGTAATTTACATAAAGGTAACTTGAATACAATAAGATTTCAATATCAATTCTGGTATTGAAATATTGATATGAATATTCATAAATATAGATATGAATACTCTGGTGTAGGAAGTTAAATATTAATAATAATCTTTGGAAATAATATTTTCTCAAGCTGCATATTCTAACAACATCTGAAAGATAAAATTCAGAAACCATTAGATTCCTCCATTCCAATCATTTGTAGCACTGACAGGGGAAATAAAGAATTTCTGAGTTAGGTGTTACACAAATGTCATTTCTGACAAACTTCCATAAGCTTTTCTTCTTGTAGGTATATGCCAGCACTACATCAAATAGCCCATGGAATTCCATGTAAAAGGCACACTTATATCACATTTATCACAACTACCAAAAAAGCCATAAGCAAGTATCTTTTAATGTTAAAGACAGGAACTGAAATAGACTGTCCCTAACCTGAGTCCCCTTTATGTTCAGTATCTCAAAGTGGTTTAGCCATGTAAATTTATGAAGCCTCTCAAGCCTCATGGAAAATTATTGCCATTCCCATTTTGAAGGTGAAGAAAGTAAAGTGTGGGGAAGCCAATGTTATACACAACCTTATGGTACAAAATGGCCCAGGACCCAGGAGTTTTAACTTGCAGCTTCTGTGCTTTCAAATCTTTCTTTCTCCATAGCAACAGCACTAGAGAAGGCATTTTATATAACGGGGCTGAGCATTCAGAAGTGTAATCAAACATCTTTAATTTTCTGTCTCTCCAGTTCATCCATTTATTACATGGGAGGGAGTATTAATTTGAATTACCAGACACTCAGTCATAATTTTAGCCAATGGTACCTGGCTGGGTGAGGTATTTGCTTCACCTGTCTATAATGAGAATAAATCACACCTACTTGTGCTATTCCAGCGATAAATGCATTAAAACAAGTTGAAATGCGCATTTTCTGAGGTGCAATCATGAAGCATCCTTCCTGTTGATCATAGCCAAGCAAGACATACAGATGACGCTTGACTGTGTTGAAGGCTTTCGCACTGCTGATGTCTGACTCAGCACTACTCTCATCCTTTGCCATAAACTTCATCAGCACAGTAATCAGCTGGTGGACAGTCTGATGATCAATCCCAGCATCTTCTGGAAGTAGGTCCTTTATTGTATTATCATTCTCTGGGGAGGGCTGTCCTGTCAGCACAAGAAAGATATGGTGTAAATGATCATGGCACAAGGTAGTGGTGAATCAGGCTGGAGGCTTCTTTCCCAAAGATTGATTCCACTTCTCCCAAAGTATGTACACATAAAATTAATAGGAGCTGCCTTTTTAGAGAGCAGTATTTACTGTTGCCTCAGTTGTAAAAATCAAAGAATACGTTGGTATTTGAAATTAACTCTCTGTTCAGTTGGATAGGCAAAGACTTTCAATTCCTCAAACATCTCAGACCTTATGGGTAGGACTGTCCTGTCACTCCTCATATACCACCTTTGAGTTCAGTAATGTAAGGCCTGCTTCCACTTGTGTGGGAAAGAACAATCATATTCTGTGGTACTCAGGTGATATAATTTAATGTCAATCCACTGACATCAATGGAACAGAGCCAAAATACATCAGCTGAGGGCAATGCTCAAAAGTAATTGGGAATGTGAAAGAAGCAAAATTTTGCATTTGATCAACCCATATCAGGTCAAGAATGAAAGATTTTTCCTTCTAGCATTCATGATGCATGCTTCTCTCCACATGAGAACAGGGAATTTACGTGACCAAATTGTGGCATTTTAATCGACCTGGAGGGAAGTGGGCAGCGGGGTCCCCCAGGGTTCAGTCCTTGGGCTCGCACTGTTCAATTTCTTTATTAGCGACTTGGACTATGGGGGAAGAGCAGACTGTTTAAATTCGCAGACAACACCAAGATTTGGGGTGAGGTGGGCACACTAGAAGGGAAGGACAGATTACGGCAGGACCTGGACAGGTTACAGGGATGGGCAAATGAAAATAGGATGGGATTCAATACTGACAAGTGCAGGGTGCTGCACTTGGGCAGTAGGAACCAGCAGCATACCTATTGGCTGGGGAACTCCCTCCTCAAAAGCACAGTGGCAGAAAGAGATCTTGGAGTCATTATTGACTCCAAGATGAACATGAGCCGACAATGTGAGAACACGGTCAGTAGGGCTAACCGTACCTTGTCCTGCATCCACAGATGCATCACAAGCAGGGCCAGGAGGTGATCCTCCCCCTCTATGCGACACTGGTCAGGCCACAGCTGACGTACTGCATCCAGTTCTGGGCGTCACACTTCAGGAGGGATGTGGACAGCATTGAGAGGGTCCAAAGGAGGGCCGCTCGCATGATCCGGGGACAGCAGGGCAGACCCTATGAGAAGAGGCTACGGGACCTGAACCTGTTCAGCCTTCACAAAAGAAGGATAAGGGGGGACCTGGTGGCCATCTATAAACTTACTAGAGGGGACCAGTGGGGACTGGGAGAAACCTTGTTCCCCCAAGCACCTCCCGGAGTAACAAGGAATAACAGCCATAAGCTGCTAGAGAGTAGGTTTAGACTAGACATTAGAAGGCATTACTTCACAGTCAGGGCGGCTAGGATCTGGAACCAACTTCCAAGGGAAGTGGTGATGGCTTTTACCCTGGGGGTCTTTAAGAGGGGGCTCGATGTTTACCTGGCTGGGGTCATTTGAGCCCAGTTTTCTCTCCTGCCCACGGCAGGGGGTAGGACTAGAAGATCTACAAGGTCCCTTCTGACCCTACATCTATGAATCTATGAATTTTGCTCTGGCAAGCTCCATCTTCCAAAGGAATGAAGAGCCTGTAGCTATCTTTCATGCTGTTAAATAACAGCCTAAACAGCATGTCTTGCAGGGATGTTTCCAGGTAATGGAAGTCAAACTGTAGGTATTATAAATAAGAGGTTTTTGAAAGCTAGTATATAATACGAATCTTTTCATTTTTTTAATTATACAGGTTTAGATATGATCATTTTTTTGCAGTGCTCACAACCCAAACAGGAATCTATTGGGTCAGACCATGGTCATCTGGAAGAAAAGCTGTCTAGGATCAAGATAGAGACTGAGTCGGCTGAGTCTCATTGTCCAAGCTGAACAAGCATAACAAGTAAATAAGCAACAAAAAGCAGAAATAGTAATTTATAACATTCTTTCCATTTTCATAATTTAACATGCTTTCAGTGATATTCTTATGTACAGAGTTTGTTTAATCCTTTTGAATTCTAACCTGCTAGTGTCCATTTATTTGGCTTCTGAAGGATCAGCTTCCATTTATCCCTGAGTGTTAACCCTGAAAATAAGTACTTTTCTACACAAGACACTTCAACAGCAGTAGACTAATTCTGCTGCACATTAGCGCAGTGGACAAAACCTGTGCTATTGTGCTAATGCACTAATGTGCAGTAGATTTACTCTACTGCACATTAACATCACAAAAAAAAAATTCATTTATGCTAATGCGCAGTAGCACCAATTACAGCACATTAAGTTAGTACCTGTCATTACAAGTAGTAAACTTAATGTACTGTAATTACGACACATTAATGAATGTGTAGACACATCCCTTGAGATCTATAGAGACCAAATATCAGTTCCTGAAGCTGAAAGGAGGCTCTTTTTATAAATACTAGCAAAGACACATGATGACTTAAAACATTTTAGGGTCTATAATTCCTACTAAGGCTGTGAAAAATTTTGATGAGTGTTTCATTTTGAAGCTGTTTTGATGCATTTCAAGCTAGAAACAGCGAAATTGAAATGAAACAAAATGCTTCAAAACAGCTTCAAAATGAAATGAGGGCACTCGAAATATTTTGAAAGTTTTGAAACATTTAGAGTTTTGAAGCAGCCTGGTGGCAGGAGGTGGGGGAGAGCCAGGGCTGTGCTCTGAGTGACTCCGCCAGCCCCACAGAGCTCAGCCCAGCGGCAGGAGGCAGGGGAGAGCCAGGGCTGTGCTCCACTTCCCACTGCTGGGCTGAGCTCCATGGGGCTGGCGGAGCCGCTCAGAGGGCAGCCCTAGCTCTCCCCTGCCTCCCCCCACTGGGCTGCTTTGAAACTTGAAACGTTTTGAAAGGTGCTCCAAGAGGCTCTGCCAGCCCCACAGAGTTTAGCCTGGTGGCAGGAAGTGGGGGAGAGCCACTGGCCAGGGATGCACTCTGAGCGGCTCCGCCACGGGCTCTCCCAATGCCTCCCACTGCCAGGCTGAGCTCCATGAGGCTACTATCCCTGCAATTTTCATCTGAATTGGCCAAGAAATTATAAAGTTATAGGCATCTTCATGATTCTCCATTATAGCCTATGGGTGAAAAGGCGAAACAGCAAAACAGTTTTGACAAAACGAAATGAAACAGTACTTCAATACTAAATGACAAAACAAAACACTGTCCCTTCAAAACAGTGAACCAGAAGTCAAAACGAAAGGGTGCTGTTTCACACAGCCCTAATTCCTACATGTTCTCTTTAAGCAGAAATTCAAATAAGTATATGCTGCATAATTAAAATGCACATCCCTTATTTCATGTATGATCAGTGATGAAGAAAGTTAAAAATGCCCTTGTTGATTGTACCAAAAGAAAAGGTACTTAACAACAAAGTACTGATTCCATCATTAATTTTAATTAGTACTAACAGCCTATATTAATATGCCCACTGATTATTATACTGAGTCTTAGGCCAAAACCAAAGATAAAATAGAAAGCTGTTTTGAAGCAGAATTAAGATGACACAATTACCTCCTTCAAAAGAAAAAAAACACTTGGTTTCCAGCCTTTCATTGAAAAAAAGCCAGAAATTTTGATCAACATGAAAATTTTCCATGTATATTTTTTTTTGTTACAGAAACAATATTTCATCAAAAATGCACACATGAAAGCATTTTGACTACCTTTAAACTTGTAGAATTAAAATTAGAGTGATAATCTTTCCATAGAATTTTATAGCAAGGATATCATTCTATCAAATACTTTCTGTCAAGAGGGCATAATTCTCAATCAGAAGCTTTTAGAGAGAAATATGGTGATGATGATAGTGATTTCCTGTACAATCCTAGTGTTTTTATCTCCGAAGTGCTATGTGATTTTTCCATACAAGTGAAAAATAGAAGCCTAGAACTGAATGTGTCAGTAGTATAACTAGGGGGGACAACAAGGGCAGAAGTCAGCCTCTCCCCATCCCTTCCCAGGAGTCTTTGCCATGGGAAACAGAGCAGTTTGTCATAGGAGCCAGGCAGGTACAGTTCCTCACCTAATAGCATATCTGGGGGGTGGGGGGAGGGGGGA